GTCAACACCTACAACTGACATACCACATAGTTGTACAATTAACTTCCCGAACTTCGAGGGCCAGTACTTCACAGTTAGCTACATTGACTCCTTGCGACGTTGCTACTGTACGAAAAGTGCAAAAACGCATAATCGCACCGGCCCGCCTGGTGCGTTCCAACCTGGGTTTTTTTATCAAACATGATCAATTTTCTTGCAGCAGGGGATGAGAGTACACACAGTTAACCATTTATTCATATGTTCCAGCTTAGCTGATAAAATTGAGAGCTGCATATCCTAGATTGGAATCCGTGAAGAAATAAGCGACTGTTTTGCAACTATTTGGGAGAATAACGACTAGAACTTTGCGCTTACCAAACAAATTGATATCACAGCGCCAAAAAAAGCCTTTTCCACTGTTTTTCAGTAGGTATCTGTATCTTAATTCTGCAACTGTGAAGGGAGAAAAGCACACAAACTGCGCTCTTTCTCAACCGATTCAGTGATATTCTTCTGTACCGAATCTGATTTTCACAACTACGAAGAAGTTGCCGTTCGCTGCCTAGACTTGTCTTGCAAAGGAAAGAAATACTACATCTTGGAAGAATTGATTGTCTCCGGGAACTATTTCTTCCTCGCCTGCGCTATGAAGGTATGTTGCACATCGTGCAATAATTTGCTCTGGCGCTCCCTTCATTACCAAAATGTAGTACCCATCCGACGCTCGTCTGTGTATCGACACCTAAAATAAACGCTCTTACAAGGTGCCTGTCGGACCATTCCATTGAAAACAGTGCATCTCCGATGAACCGAATCAGTAGCATCACCATTCTGACCAAAGCTGCAGTGTCACGCCTGCGACTTTGATTGATCAAGTACCAGCGGTCAGGTGCAGTGACCTTGTAGTAAGTCAGCTTTTTGCTTGCATCGCAGGATAATCAGATGCACAGCTAAACTTCTACGGTAGCTACTTCAGTTCTCATGGCATATTACATATGTGCAAACACAAAGTCCCAAAAAGAAAACTGTTTTCCTGCATTATGTGCTGCAGCAGTTGCGCTAACATGTTCGGCAACTTGTCGTAACAATAAGAAAAGGCTGGCCGGTGTTCAATTCTAGAAACGAAAAAGCCATGAACCGCAAATTTTGCAGTGCCTTTGCTGCTTCTGCAGCAGGCCAATTGAAAAGGCACCCCGATAAAATTTAGCGTGTATTAGTTCATTTACCAATTAATAGACTGCAGTGGCTCGCGACAAAAACGTATACACTCGTTATCTCACAGCATGCACTGCCACGCATATTTTACTATAATACTTTCTAGTTCACTTGGCTGTACGTCTTTAGTTATATGTGACGCCTATTCGGCAGAGTTTAGTGTTTTCTGGCATAGATACGTATTTTCTTGTTCTAGTTTTTTCGTTTTTCTCACACAAATGATTTTAATGTTCATAAAAGAAAAGACGGATTTGCCACTTGCATGCCATTGAATTTGCTAGTTTTAATTGATTTGGAAAGTTTTACAAACGCACCTGGAATTTGCTCGTCGAATTAAACGGTATTTCGCAGACTTTTGGATAAAGTTCACGGTAAGCAGCGACATCGCCACACGTAAATTCACAATATTTCAAAATCGCAACTTCAGATGCATCGCCGTTTGCTTCGCGTTTTGATAATTTCACATCGCGATTATCTTCCTGCAGTAAACGAATGTTGGAAAAGCCTGCCTCGTAAGGCATTTTTGTTTCATCGTTCACACCGGCTAATGTCTCTTATGACAATTGCTATGATATCTGAGCATCAAGCTGAGTCGGTTTCTCTTCCTTTATTCTTCCTTTACAAACTTGTACGATTCAACGCTCTCATTTAGAGTTCAGTTTCAGAATAACCAAAAAGACTGGAAAAAGAAAACCAGTGAACCTTAAAAGTGGCATTCGAGCAAAGAGATGCGCATCGCAAGAAAGTGCCTTTCACCCCATCAAAAACTTTTATGTCCAGCTTTCCGGACTCGTGAGAATCAAGCGCATTTTTTGCAATGTCTACTGGAATAATATCGTCATCGACCCTAAATTTTGAATGTTTTAAAAAACTGTGCCAAACTGATCCAACAAAAATCATTCCAAATGCAAGTTTTTTTAATAGGTCAAAAGTTAAAAGTGCCTATGCATTCCTTTTAGAGGCGAAGGCATTCGGAAAGTTTTTTTGAATGCAATTTAAAAAACTTGGCCAGTGCACCAAATGCCGGTGTGAGGATGCGCTTTTTGCATGGTTCCTCGCAGGTTATTGTTGCTAACGGCATTGTTTTTCAGGTAGATGCTTCTAGCTAAGAGAACTGAGACTGACTGCCAGGAATGTCAGGAAGCATTCCCTTAAAATTTCAGTTTTCTAGCTTTCCAGGTTCCTAAGTTAACAACTTACCCATAAGTAGGAAACACGCATATCTGAAGGTGGGGAAGGGCGGTAGGTTTAAACTCTTTAAGACCTACTTAGGCAGGGGACATTCCTTTGAAAAGCCAACCTTCTAACTTTTCATGTTCCCGAATTAGTAGATTACTCACCAAAAACTTTAAAGGACACATATGTGGGAACCACGCATACCCGGGGGCTGAGTACGAACTCAACAAGACTTATGTGGACGAGGAAAATGCTCTTAAAATTTCAGCTTTCTAGCTTTTCTAGTTCCCTAGTTAGTAGCATATCCGCCAAAAGCTTTGATGGGCCCGTACGTAGGAATCACACGGGTAAGGGCGCCCATTTTGGGGATGAAGGCCGTATATGTATATAGGCCAAGTTTCCAGAGTTTCAGCCCTGTAGCTTTTGGTGATCTCAAGATGATATTATTTTCTCTTTATCCTTTAATGAAAATCAGTAGAGACGAACACACAGACACACGTACACAGACAACCTCTCGACAATATACCTTTTTACATTGCTCTGATGCAAAAAACGCATAAAAATTAGATTTTGTCCAGCAAACGTAACAGAAATAAAGCAGCGTTATTCTATATTCGTTTTTAGCGATTCGATTGCATCACCGGGCAAAACATTTTTCTGCAAAAGGGCGTAAGCTGCTTCTTGCTTAAGTATAGATTTTTCCTGGAAAGGGCTCAACTAATTAGCAATTGCTTGAAAGTTTTAAAAGTGCATCGGTGGCAGTAGAGGAAAGAGAGAGAGAGAGGAAAAGCTGAGAGTTGAGTTCAAAGAAACAAAGGACTTAAGAATTCATGCATTCATACATTCCTGCGTTCGATAATTCGAGCATTGGACACTAAATTTCCAGCATTTTTTTGGAACAGTTAATTTTCTACCGAAAGTATTTTTATCAAAAGTTTTGTACAAATCATTAAATAAATGGCCAACGCACGGGCTGCCCGTGCGAAGATGCGTTTTTTGCAGAGTTCCCCGCA